AGAATCCTTTGTTAAACCCATCGATTTTTTTTTTTAATTCCAATATTGCGATAGGGAGAATAGAAATAGCCGTTTATTTCCATTGTATCCCAAAAAAATAGAAATAGCCGTTAGGGGTCAAATCAATATTCAAATGGATGATTAGAAACCGACACAATGGCCTTTTCATTGATCTCTTAAATTGCTCTGAAATTCTATTTCTCCCTTTGTTAGTACTGCTCCGATTTCTCCGTCAGATTCATGGCCTGGGCCACGCTTGACTTGATTTCTTCGGCGCTCCATTGTGAATTTCACCACAGCCTCGTTTTCAGGTGAGTCAAAGTTTTGGTTCCTTTATCTTTCTGGATCTCGTTTTGGAGCAGAGTTCAATAGTTTTCAATCACCTCGCTGTGATATTTTTTATTTCCCTTTTATGTGGAAGTTTACTTGTTATGGTTTTGTACATGTCTTACAGAATTGTTTTCTTTTATATTTTACATGATTTGGGTTTAGGCTTTGCATAATGATGAATTGCTTCTTTTGTTTGCTTAATAGCGAAATGTCTTTGTACGAATGAGAGAACTTCAACCAATTCTAATTATCGTCTTCATCTTAGTTTTGATAACCATTGTTGCTGATTAGGTACGCACTTTGCCTCACGAAATCTTCTCTTAAGGTGGAATTCGAAGACCTCCTCCTACCTTCCGCAGGTAATAAGGCCTTGTATGATTAATTTTAGAGTTTTCAACTCTTCTGCTATGAATTTGAGTTCATTTTTTTCTACATCTATTTCCTTTGTCTATTATTCTATCATAATTATTTTTTTAGTTTCTATTTATTTCGTTGGAGTGAAAATTTTCTGTTATTTTTTTTTTCATGTAAAATGGTTTCTTTGTATATAATTTTTGGAAGTTAGAATTTTAATTCAAATATTTCTATATATAATTAATCTTTGCGATTCTAACTTGCCAACAACTTGTCTCCTTTTTTTTTCACAAATACTTCTCTTTGCATTCATTTTTCTCTGAAGAAATGGAATATCAAAGAAAGACAAAAGAATTCAGATTTGCCTACAATTTCAAAAATGTCTTCTAAACATAAGCCACTATCGTTTCGTAGTATTAAAAGGATAGAATCTTTCTGATTGTGTTGCTTCTTTGATATTAGCCATTCCATTTATTGTGCTTGTGACATTAGCTTCTTTATAGCTTTGGTATAAGCTGCAGAATCACATACATGCATGATAATATTATATGGAGAAGTACTCTTCACAATAAAATAGAAAATGCTAATAATTGGACTAGAATGCAAGGAACCCCGCAATTATCGCATCATATTGTTGTGTTTAAGTTATGGAGGTCTTCATTTTCTATTGTTTCATGCTCTATTTTGACATTAGCAGATGAGTTATTCTTTATGGGCCGTAGAATGAAACCAATAGTTGAACGTTTCACATAGGAGACACTCCAGACAATCTTCTAACAAAAGGAAGATATGAAGTTATGGTGCATTACTGTCCATTATGTAATAGCTTTGATAATACTAAGTGTTGATTTTTTGACAGTGCAAGAGTCTTTTTTTTTTTTAAACAAAAGGGATGCGTTTATTGATATGCATGTCATTTTGATAAGAATTGAGATGGAGTGTTTGGAATCTACTGTATTTAAAAATGTCAATTTCATTTCTAATTGAATTTCCTATTTCCTATTTTATCATCATTTAAATTTCTAATATTTTGAAACCAGATTTTGTTGACCACGAAGAATCCTTCATTTTTTGAATAATGCTGACATTGATAGAGTCTATCCCGGAGAGTCATAAGAGATTGATATCAAACTTTATTTAAATATCAATAATATAAAACATATATGAGAACACCTTGTGATAGAGTCGATTTTTGGACAGTGCAAGAGTCTTTTGTTTTGTTTTTTTTGTTTTAACAAAAGGGATGCGTTTATTGATATGCATGTCATTTTAATAAGAATTGAGATGGAGTGTTTGGAATCTACTGTATTTAAAAATGTCAATTTCATTTCTAATTGAATTTCCTATTTGCTCTTTTATCATCATTTAAATTTCTAATATTTTGAAACCAGATTTTGTTGACCATGAAGAATCCTTCATTGATAGAGTCTATCCCAGAGAGTCATAAGAGATTGATTTCAAACTTTATTTAAATATCAATAATATAAAACATATATGAGAACACCTTGTGCCTTTTTTTTATGTGCAGTAAAACTTTCATTTTTGTTCAGTAACTCCAGTTCTTAGTATAGAATGTCACCTGGAACTATAAATTTAAAGATGGATAGGACAAAGAAATGTACTCCCTGATAAACTAAAGAGTCAGAGAGGATATAAGATTGTGATCACAGTAAGAGTTAGGCTGTTATACAAAATTGAACAACTGGCTAAAGATTAGGTAGCATGGGATTGAATTGATTATCGTCCAATAATAAGCCACCAGCATATGAACGTGCAGGTAAACAAAGCCTCGAGTAGTTTTGGCATCACTATCACTTTTCTTCTTAAATAGTTTTTCCATTTTACATCTTATTATTGTATGATTATGGATTGTGGAGTTAATTGCATTTCAGTAGTAGTTCTGTGTCCAGATGTTGATGTTGCCATGAACAAGATCAGTCAAACCATTTGTGTCCTAGTATTGTTGATTTTGCATCATTGTTGATCTTGGAATTCATTCTATGTTGGAATTCTATTTTTTTTTTCAATTCGAGATAGTGTGCTCCGTGTTTTTCCCTTTAATTCTAAGAAAAAAGCGAGGCTTGTCTTGTTGAGGTAGGTAATTATTTGATAAAAACATTACTGATTCATCTCTTCATTTATTGTATTGTACGCCATTATCTCCCATGCTAATCAAATAATATTCATTGTTTAGAAGGCGGGCTTTACAGTACATATACATTGAAAAAGTACTGCATGGATAGTACTAGGGAAATGTCAAAATGCGCTTAATGTCTTGATTCAAATGGTTGCTTGCTTTCTATTGAAAAAAAGGTTAGAAACAGTAGTTTTCTAGAGTAGTCCTATAATGTTTACGGGGAGAGAGGGTCATTGCATTGAATGAGATGGTTTTTGATTTTGTTAATACTTAATAACAAAGTACATGTGGAGGAACTTGCTTGTACATGTAAATTTTTTTTTAAAGAAACTTTTGAAGGTTTGTAGAATTGGATGCTTGCACTTTTGGGAAGGTTAGACATTTTGGAAGTATTAATTTTGTGGTTTTGATTCCTTGACATGTTGCATTCCTATGTGCTTGAGGCTTGGTATGGGATTGTTAGGTTAAATGCCTATGGTCACCCCAATCCTAATATCTCTATTCTAATGCTGTAGTTATCATGTTTTACTTTATTATTGTAGTTGGCTTTTAATTTTTGAGTGATATTATTTAAATTTACTTTATTATCTCTTACAATGATATTATTCAAATTTGTTATATCTTTTGTAATGTCAATTCATTTGTGCAAAGCTAGCTCAACGATTATGCCAATTTTGTGTTGAAGTAGAGCACAAAGTTTATTAGGCAATCAAAAGGTCAATCTTGATATAAATGTTTTGGCCAAGGAGAGGTTACTTCAACTTCAAGAATTAGAGGAACTTCATTCGCTTATGATTCTTCCAAGTTCTATAAAGAGATGAAAGATTGTTGCATGATAAGATGATCTTAAGCAAGGAATTCTATGTTGGTGATTTGGTTTTTCTTTTCCACACAAGATACATTCACAAACAAGGGAAGCTTAAAGTAAAAATGGGATGGACCTTTTTCAGTCACTAAAGTCTTTTCATATGGAGTTGTGCACTTGTGAAAGGTGTTCCAGAGGCTCCTCAAGTCAAGAAGAGGTCCCTACTCAACATGCCTTTAATCCTCCTTGAATTAGGTTGTATCTCTTTACTTTCTATTGCTTTGTGTTGCGTTTGATGATTGAGTAAAGTGCAAATGTGGAGGAAATGTCTCTATTAGTAAAAGTTAGTTTTTCACTTGTTTTCTTTGATTACATAATTGCAAATATGAGAATTATTCTTTGTTGTTTGGCTTTTGGCCAAAATCATGCCTAAGCCTTCGCCAAGACAAAATTGGCTATGGCCAAGACCTCTTCTTGGGGTATTTGTATAAATTATTCATTTGCACTTCTTTCATGCATCCATGTTGAGCTTATCTTGTCATATATCATTAGACTAGGCATATATTAATAACAATGCATGATTTAAGTATTGGAAAAGAGCTAAAAATATTTTATTTTGTTTTATTTTGTTTTATTTTGTTTTCAAAAAATTTTATAAAAATAAACTGTTTTCTTTTTATTTGAATTTGCTTATTGATAGAGGTTTTTATTGGAAATCTTAATACTTGATATGAGAATACTTTAGAGTTTGGATAATAGTGAAGTGAATTTGATCTTTACCTTAAGTAAATGGATTTGAGTACTAAAACCCTTAATGGAAGGAGTCTTATATATTCTAGCATGCATTGTTCTACTTTAATCAATTCATTCTCTAGAACTTGTCTCTTTTCTTATTCAAAACCACAACTTGCACTAAAAATGATTAAAGCATTCATTTGGATAGCATTCAAAAGGCCAACCTCTTGATTGTTTTGCTTAACCCTTTGAGCCTTTTGAATATTTATTTGAAAATATGATTATACCTTTATTTTCCCAAGAATGCATGTTACTTCACATTATTGCTTAAGATATTTAGCTTGCCTTAGACTCAAAAGGTGAACTTTTATCATCCATTGCGCTAGAAGTTGTAAAGGAGCAGCAAGGAAGATCACAAGAGAGACTAGAGCAACCTCAAAAGAAAGAAAAAGAAAGAGAAAAATAGAAGAAAAGTTAAAAAGAGAAAGATAGAAACAATGTTGAAAGAAAGAAAATGTAACATATGGGAAAATTAATTGTGGTTAGTTAACCCAATGATTTAGATTAGTAATTTAATGAGGTGTGTAGCCAGAGGGGCCTAATTGGTGTAATTGTTGTGATTTCAGCCCTAGAAGTGAGTCCGGATTGATGTTGGGCCACCAGGGCAAAGAAAGAGGAAGAAAAAGTAAGGTGAAGCTCTTTGTTCCACATGCCGCGGCGTGCAGGGGCAGATTTGAATGCAACGGGCTCCTCTATGCCATGCGCCAGGTTGTACAATCAAAATTTTTAATAAATCAATTCATGTTTTAAGCGAAAATTAGAGAAGAAAGGAAGGAGAAACCGAAGAGCTCAACTTAGGCTCTGCTAGGGCATTGCATTGGCTCCTATTGTTGATGTTTTAAAGCTCCCAAACACCCAAAGTAAGTAATCTATGCCTTCTTTTTCCTTTCTCTCCCTCATTCATGATGATTTATGATAGGGTTTGAGTTGGAGAGTTTATTTTCAATCCATAGGAGTATGAGTCTGATTCCATTAGTTAAAATGAGTATAATGGAAGTTATTTAAGATATTGGAATACCACATTGATGATTTTAGAAGTGTTTGGTCCATAAGAGCATTTAATACTCGAAAATTGACATAAATGTAGTTGTTAATAGAGGCTTATGTCCATTAATAATGGTTTGAAGAGTTATTAATAGTAATGTGCATTAATGGAACCTAGTGGACCCATTGGGGATGAATGGGTAGAAATTTGTGGATTTATAGAATAGTATGTGTGGAGATTATGTTGGCAAAACTCTCAAAATGAGATAATGATAATATCCTTGTTGTATGGATGTAGTGAGGTTCAATTTTGGCACCATTTAAGCTTGGGAGGAGCTTTGAAAGTTTTTTGGTGTGAGGGATAAACCTTTGACCTCTCAAAGGATTGAGGTAACTCGGGGAAACTTAATCTTTATAGTTGAATGTTAATTGTGCTGTAAAATGTAATTTATGATTTAAACTAATGATGCATATTAGCAATGTGTTTGACTTGCGAAATAGATTTGAAAAGGAAAACCTAGATTATGCCATCCTTTGTAATTTGTGAACTTGATTTTAGTTTGTTATTGTAGGTGGAGAATTGTGATGAGAAATATGTTGAGTTTGTGGAGTATTTGAGTATATGTGAGTTTATGTGCCATGCATTGATTGTTTAAAATGCATATCATGTGAAATGTGCATAGCATGTGGTATTGGTAGTGACCGTTGGAATCGAAAACTTGCTTTAGCACTAACCGTTGAAATCAGAAGGTAGCCCTTATCCCATGATTGATTTGGGACTGCCATGATTGATTCAAGACTGTCTCACTTATTTTATGAGGGACTTGAACCTAACTAGTCTTCACCGATTCATGAGGAGGTTAAATTAGGGGTATGACACCTCATGGTTGTTAGTATTGGGGGAAACCAGATTACATAACTGAGTGAGTTCACTCTGGCCTGGTAGCTTCTCACAAGTAGAAGGCTGGGTTAGTCCATGAAAGGATGTAGCTACATAATAGCCACCGGTTTTGTGTCGGAGGTAACAGGAAGGTATAAGGTTGGCATACGATCATGCATATAAGTCCGGCCACATAATTGTTAGTTTTATGATCTGACATGTGTTAGGGGCGCATGGCTATTATTATTGCAACCCCATGTTGTGCTTTGCAAAATAACTTGATATTGTGTGTTGTGGGCCCAGTCACATAGTTGTTAGTTTTGTTAGTTTTGTGAACCGTGGCCAAGTGTTTAGATGTGATATCTATGTATTTGCCTAATTGCATATATTTATAATTGATATGCAACTATATAGGTTAGGTGAAACTTGGTTATTGAATGGATGCACTCATCTCTCAATTCTCAATATTTTAAGGCCTAACTCATCGGATCTAAGTTAGGGAAAATACATGGAGGCCTAGGATTGTGGGGTAATCCTCTATATGCCTCCATTTTGTTGTTTCATGTATATATGTTATGTCATTTGCCAACTAGGATTATTTGACATGATTTTTAAGCTACTTGCATTATTTTGTGTACAACTTGTGTATTTTGTGCCCTAGGTTAGTGAGTTTTGATTGTAAACTCGTGGGTAGAGTCAAAATACTTGTGCATAGAAACATGTGTAATTTGAAAGATTTGAAAAGAAAATGATGATTTTGTGCAACATTTCCTCCTCCTTGTGGTTTGTAAAAATCGGGGTTGAGTGGTGATTTCATAATATATGTGTTTTTGATTGTGTGTAGTGTATTGCACGAGTCCGTTAGAGTTCATTGAGTGTGGTTGGATGGTCGGTATAGGCTTATGGCACTTCTGGTTGAGTTAGGACACCAAAGTTGTAAGATTTTTGTGAAAAGCAGTCAAAAAGGGTTTTGGTGTCTAACTTTTAATAGAAAAAGAATTTAAGAGTGAAACCGGTGCCATTAGCTAGACTAGAAGAAAACTCCATGTAGACACCAAAACCATCTCAATCGGACGTCGGATGGAGATTTAAGATGCATCGAAAATTTGCTCCCTGTGTTGTCAAATGACAGCACTGATGCTGTCAAATGATAGCATGATGCTGTCAAATTTGTACAATGCGCCACGGCGCATGGCATAAAGAAGGATGAGCCAGAGTGCATATGTCATATGCCACAGCACATGAGTCGTTTTCTACACAAATATCAGTTTTGAGATTTAAAACTCATTGTTTTGAGTCTCTTTCACTTTCTCAGCTTTTGCACAGTTTTTAAACTTTGATTTGAGCTTAATAAATATTGTTTGAGAGTTGAAATGTTGAATTTGGGATTCTTTGTAAAGGATTTGAGAAATTTTTCCTTTTTTATATAAATTTACATCTTTAGTAATCATCTGAGGGTTGATCCCTTGATTATCTTAATAATGGAGTTAATCGAAGTTAGTAAGGGAGACCTTGCAGAAAACAAACATAGAAGACAAGAATGAAAAGAAAGGAAAGCAAAAGAAATAATAAAATAGAAAAATAGAAAAGCAAAAATGTAACATCCTAAATTTCAATCTAAGGAACTAGTTGCTAACCGGAGGTAAATTAGTAATTAGTGGATTGATTATGGTTCGGATGTTAGGTTGATATTTTGTATTGATTGATTACTATGTTAACAGGATTGAAAGGTAAAGTGGCAGTTCAAGACTTAACGCACGAGCAGTAGTGAGAGTTTTTGGCACGTGGCATAGAATTTTTACTTAAAAGCTAAGTCAGATCATGAAAACAGAAGGCAAAGTTAAGGAAAAATGCGTGAGAGGCAGAGGAGAAGACTTGTGTGCTAGGACAACCATTATCCAGCTATCAGGAGTTTGCTTCAACTAGCAACTTATCAGGTAAGTATCATACAGCCCTTGTTATGAAAGCAAAAGAAACAATAAAATAGAAAAATAGAAAAGCAAAAATGTAACATCCTAAATTTCAATCTAAGGAACTAGTTGCTAACCGGAGGTAAATTAGTAATTAGTGGATTGATTATAGTTCAGATGTTAGGTTGATATTTTGTATTGATTGGTTACTATGTTAACAAGATTGAAGGGTAAAATGACAGTTGAAGACTTAACGCACAAGCAGTAGTGAGAGTTTTTGGCACGTGGCACAGAATTTTTACTTAAAAGCTAAGTTAGATCATGAAAACAGAAGGCAAAGTTAAGGAAAAATGTGTGAGAGGCAGAGGAGAAGACCTGTGTGCTAGGACAACCATTATCTAGCTATCAGGAGTTTGCTTCAACTAATGATTTATCAGGTAAGTATCATACAGCCCTTGTTATGAGCTAGAATATGTTATGAGCTTCATCTGAGCGCTTGAATCATTCCAATCGGTTGTCAAATGTGAAAATGGTGCAGGTGAAAATTTATCTTCTAAATTGTCATATGATAGTAGAATTTACTGTCATATGCACCCTGGCACATTGTGTGCCACATCACGATGCATGGCACAGAGAAGAATAGAGCACGTTGCTCTGTACCATATGTCGTGTCACATGGTGGTGTGAGTCATGGTGTATGGTACTTTTTTCGAGAAAGATATTGTGTTTTATTGAGTTTTTGAATTATATTTACGCTTCTGTTAGTACTCTTATTTAAACATATGTTTGATGAAGTCGAGATCCCACATTTTGAAAACAATTCGAGGGCTATTACTCTAATCTTGTATGATTATTATTTGATAATTATGTGTTAGGAATGGTAAATTCCATATTAAGTGGGAATTTACATGTTGGTATTAGTTTATTTGGTTTTAATCTCTTTGTGCATTGCATTACATTAGTTAGCAACTTTTATACATTCATTACTCTCTTTCCATCCTCTAACCACTTATTTACTAACTTTTTCTGCCTTTACTCTAAAGGAGGAGACAAAGAACGTAAAGCTATAGTTATCCTATAGTAGCTATGAGAGGATGTGGTAGATATCCACTGCCCATACAGAGTCAGAGTGCCCAAGATCCGAAGGTGCCACCAAAACAACCTTAGGGTAATGACCTAATAATGGCACGTATGTTAGAAGTGATGCTAGACATTCAGTGAAGTTTAGTTAGTCGTGATGCCCTAAACCATAATAGGGATCATGAGGAGCCAAGGCCAAAGCAAGAAATAAGGCTTGAGGCTGAAGTGAGGGTAGAACTTAAGCAACACTCCAAGGTGCAGTTAAATAGGCCAGCGACCTCCCATGCTTCAAGGAGTAGGCTAGAGATTGGTAGAAAAGATCAGGAGATTCCCATGGATCGAGTTTGAAGGACTTTGTCACAGTTAAATCTGCTAACTTTTAATAGGAGTATGAAAGAAGGAGATGAAGAGAACTAGGTTGAGAGAATGAAAACAATCTTTGAAGTCACTCCATGTTCCTCTGAGTAGAAGGTTGTATTAGCTATAGTACAACTAATAGAAGATGCCAAGCATTGATAGCATTCTGTGAGACCTTCTGGAGGTAGTCGGCTCAATTAGGAGCAATTCAAGGAGAGGTTCTTTGACTACAACTTCCTTGCAGCGTTTTAAGATGAAAAAGAAGCTAAATTCTATGCATTTTAGCATGAAGACATGGATGAAGAAGCTTTTATGTAGAAATTTAACCATCTTTCCAAGTTTGTGACTTACCTATACGAGTGTGGCAAAAGTAAGTGGAAAGCCAAGCGGTTGATTAAAAAGATGCACCTAGCTGTAATTGACTCTGTATAGCTGCAAGGTGAGGTCGAGACAGACTTTGAAAAGAGAAGAGACAACTATAGGCAGTTTTCTACTCCATTAAGCCCAACTAGAGGAATATTAAAAAGAAATAGTTCTAGTACCAGCGGTTCTGGATCCTTAAGAAAAAGGGCTTTTAGTAGAGGATCACAGTTTTAAGGAATACATAAATTAGGAGAATTGGTAGGGCTAGAGAATTTAGAGCTCCACAGTAGTAGTCGAGTTAAATCGCTACTGCTCCTATATCTTGTGTGAGCACTGCACGTTCACCTATGTGTGCGATTTGTGGCAAGAACCATGCTAGAAGATGTTGGGCGTGTCATATCTTTAGTAGAATGGGTCATTTTGCTAAGGATTGCCCCAAGAACTGAAAGGGAGTTTCTAAGCAATAACTGACAATGCTAGGTCAAGTATACACGGTTTCCTGAGAGGAGACTCAAACAGCACCGAATCTAATTTATGGGCAAAGAGTTGGGGCTTTGTTTGACTCTGGAGCCACCCATTCATTTGTGTCAGATGATTGTATAAAGAAGCTAGGTTTTCCTGTGCATAAATTGACTTATATAATTAAGGTGTCTACACCATCGGGATTACTAGATAAGACCAGTAAGGTATGTGAAGGGGTGGAGTTGTGCTTTGAGGGCAGGACTTCTATGGTAGATCTAATCCTAATTCCTTTGTAGGGATTTGATGTGATCATTGGGATGAACTAATTGGTAGGGAATAATGCTACTCTAGATTGTGCCAGAAAGATGTTATTGTTACCAGTACATGTAATGCCTACTATGATTTCCATAACAACTACCAGTCAACCGAGGTTATTGTTAATGGTACAACCTGAAAGATTAGTTTCGGAAGGTTGTCAAGCCTATGTGGTTTTCTTTATAGTGAAAGGTAGCGATAATAGTAATGTTGAGGAGATTCGAGTCGTGAAGGAGTTTCCTGAGGTGTTCTTAGATGAAATTTCTGGTTTACTACCAGAATAAGAAGTAAACTTCTCCATAGATTTGGCACCTAGTACAGTGCCTATTTCAAAAGCACCATATCGAATGGCTCCTTCAGAATTAGTAGAACTTAAGAAGCAGCTCGAAGAGTTATTAGAGAAGGGCTTTATACGCCCTAGTGTATTGCCATGGGGCATGCCAATCCTATTTATTAAGAAGACGGATGGCAGCTTGCAGTTATGCATTGACTACAAGCAACTGAATAAAGTGATAGTAAAGAACAAGTATCCACTTTTGAGGATAGATGATTTGCTAGATTAACTGGTATAGCTTCAGTGTTTTTTAAGATTGATCTACAATTTGGTACCATCAATTAAGGGTAAATGCAGAGGATGTACCTAAGACGGCATTTCATACTCGATACAGTCACTTTAAGTTCTTGGTGATGCCGTTTAGGTTGACAAATGCACCTACAATTTTTATGGACTATGTGAACTACATATTCCATCCCTTCTTAGATCAATTTATTGTCATGTTCCTAGATGATATACTGATATATTCTAAAGATAAGGAAGAGCATGTGAGGCATTTAAGGATTGTGCTAAGGATTCTGAGAGATAGCTACTTGTATGCCAAATTAGGTAAATGTAATTTTGGCTGTGAGAAGTGTGATTTCTTGAATATGTGGTGTTAGTTGTGGGCATCTCAGTAGATCCCCACAATGTAGATGCAGTATTGCAATGGGAACGACCAAGTTCAGTATCTGAGGTGTGAAGTTTTCTATATTATCGAAGATTCATATAGGAATTTTCACAAATTGCTATTTCTTTAACTTGGTTAATGAGAAAGGATTAGCCTTTAATTTAGAATGATTAGTATGAAACTGCTTTTATGAAGCTTAAAGAGAAGTTACACTCAGTGCCAGTGTTGATTATTCTTGATCTACGATTGCCTTATGAGATTTACATGGATGCTTCTTTGAAACGCATAGGATGTGTACTGATGCAAGAAGATCAAGTAATGGTATATGTGTCTAGACAGTTGTGACCTCACGAAGAGTGCTATCCGACACATGACTCAGAGTTAGCAACTATGGTATTTTCTCTTAAGATTTGATGACATTGTCTCTATAGAGTAGAGTTTAATGTGTACAGTGATCACAAGAGTTTGAAATGTCTTATGGATCAACAAGAGCTCAAATGAGATAGAGGCAATGGATGGAATTCTTAAAGGATTACAACTTGAGTTTAAGTACCATCTAGGGAAAGCCAACATGGTGGCAGATGCATTAAATCAAAAGTCGCTATATGTAGTTGGGTGGTTAATGGTTGAGAACACCAGTTGTTGTGTAGCTGCTAGAGGTGCAACTTGAGGTATTAGATTATACTCTGAATGCAGTCCATTTGACAATTATTTCTAATGAATTTTTGAAAGAAATCCAGGAAGCTTAGCTGAAAGACAAGTTTCTGTCTAGTATTAGAGAGGATATAGAAGAAGGTCACACTACCTCATTCTAGTTCAGTAATGATAGGTTCATCCTATATAAGGACAGAATTTGCATACTCGTAGATAAGGGAATTATAAGAAGATTGATGGAAGAAGCTTATCGGAGTAGATATATGATTCATCCTGGCGTGACCAAGATGTATTAGGACATAAAGAGGCATTGGTGGTGGCAAGGTATGAAACAAGATGTTACTGAATTTGTGAGCCGGTGTCTTACATGTCAAAAAGTGAAGATTGAGCATTAGAGACTAGCTGGAACACTATAACCATTAGAGATTCCACAATGGAAGTAGGATAGCATATCAATGGACTTCGTGTTTAGTTTGCTAAGGACTCAGTTAAGATATGACTCTATGTGGGTTATTGTGGATCGGTTGACAAAGTCAGCGTACTTCTTGCCAATTAAGACTACTTATGATGTGGAAAAGTATGCAGAGGTATATGTGAAAGAGATAATAATATTGCACGGTGTGCTTAAGGACATAATCTCAGATAGAGATCCCTAGTTTACTTTAAGGTTCTGGGGAGCACTGCATAAGATTGCACATTGAGGTTTAGTACGTCCTATCACCTACAAACTGATCGACAGACTGAACGCACAATACAAACTCTAGAAGACATGCTTTAATCATATGCCCTCGAATGGAAAGGCAGCTAGGACAGTCATTTGCCTTTGGCTGAATTTGCCTATAATAATAGCTTCTATATGAGTATTCAAATGGCACCATACAAGGCATTGTGTATGTGAAAGAGTACCTATGATGTGGAAAAGTATGTAAAGGTATATGTGAAAGAGGTGGTTGATAAGTGCATATTTTATAATTAAATAGGTGTAGATTTTAGTTTGAATTTGATTATATTTATTAAGATTTCATATCTATTTAATTGATATTTATATATTTTTCCCTTATTGCTTAATTATAAGATAAAAAAAATTTAATACAAAATCTACTCATCTTTTTATCTTTATATTTTGCAGAGAAAAAGAATAAACTAAATAGAAGGAAAGAAAGAAAAGAAATATATATATATATATATATATATTAGAGTCCTACATCGACAAGGAACAAAAGAGGAGCCTCCACTTTAACTATAAATACTACCTCCATCAAGAGAGGAGTCATCTAATCACTTATCTGAGTACCTCAAGAATTTTCTTTAAGATATTTAGAGCTCGTAAAAGTATTCTGAAGGTTGAAAGCAAGATCAT